AAAAAAAAGAACAGAGAAAAAGAACCAGGAAAAAAGGGTAGATTTAGGATGATTTCAGTTCAGTACCTAGTGAGTTTAAGGTCCTGGCACCATATACTCAACAGTATACACCATATACTCACAGTTTTACAGATAGAAGTTCTCAAAGGAGAGATGACTTCCTGGTTCCTCATTCAAACCACTTAAAAAAAAAATTGGTTGAAAGCAAAGGTGACGATGGCTGGGACACCTGAATGGCAATGTGCATCGTTTGGTTGAGATACATAAATCCAGAACCCAGGAAAAAGGTCTGGGCCAAGGGAGTAGCTGATTGTCAATTAAGAGCATTAGAATGATAATGAATCAAGGGGTTGATCGATGAATCCCCCTTGGAGAATGGGAGCAAGGCCCATGTCATATAAGAAAAGACAGACCCAGGAGATAAAGGTATCACAGACATTAGGAGAGTACACAGCTGCAAGGAAGGAGCCACAGTGTTGTCAGATGCCAGAGAGGTCAAGTCAGACAAGGACAAAAGAAAAAGTTGACTGGGTTTTACAATGAGTGCATCCTTGATGACTGTGGTCAAAGCAATTTTACAGGACTAGGTAGGATGAATAGTAGATTACTGTGTATTGTGGTATACATGGGGAATGAGAAAGTGGAGACAGCAAAAGTTAATTATTTTGTGATTCAGAAATTTAAGAAGGAAAGGTGGGGGAGGGGCAGCATACGGAGAGGTCCTAAATGTGAGGCCAGGCTGCTTCGTGTTCATCTGCAGAGGAGGTGGAGCCAGGACACAGGCAGAGGCACTGAAGATAGAGGCAAGAGATGTAGTTAAAGAAGCAGGGTTTCAGAAAGTGGGTAAAATAGGAACAAGAGTACTAGTGTAGGAATTAGCCTTGAACAAGAGAAAGGACTCCTCTTCCTCTAAAACAAAATAAAAAGGAAGAAAGGAATGAAGAATAAGTGTATTTTAGGTTTTTTTTGATAGAAAAGAAATAAAATTATTTTATCAATAGTTATAAAAATGAAGCTCAGAAAACAGACTTGAACTATAAAATCTCTTGATCGCATATGTAGAAATGATCCCTTTTAATTGGGAAAATAAATCTGTTAAAAATATGTATTATCTACTGTTTTATATGACCCAGTGATTCCTTATATTGCCATGGTTAAG